CCTGCAAGCTCTGTTTTAGACCATGTTCCTGTCGTCTAATAAACCTTCTGTTTTACTGGCTGGCTGAGAGTCACGTCTGACTGCGAAGTTGGGGTGCAGGACCCTCTGGCTTCCCCAGGAGCACCGCCTGAGCGGACTCGCTGTGGGAAGCGCACGGAGAGGCACAGGATGCTGAATGCTCCGAGGTCAGACCCAGGAAGGTGGAAGCTGTGTGAGCTGTGTGTCCTGAAGACAGGCTGCTCACAGAAAGGCGACTACCCCAGAGTCCTGACTGACTTCATGGGGAGCAGTTCCAGAGCATCGCCCAGGGACTCCGTGACATGGAGCATGTCCTGACTTTCCGGGAAAAGCTCGCTGAGCTCATGGACTTGGCCGGGAAGAATTTAGCCAGGGCCCAAGGGAAGCAGAAGGTCTGATACGGCCGCTAAGCGCGGGCCTGCTCCTGTGTGACGAAGTGGGACTGTTCTTAATGTTTCCTCTGAATAGTGTGGGGGTGCCTCAGTTTCCCCTAGGCAGTTCTTAAGTATCTAGGGGGTGGAGTAAGGGTGTATGATCATTGCAGAGCCCTAGAGGGCAGGTGTGTGCAGGAGTCTGGACACAGAGAATGGCCAACACCCTGTTTCCTGGCAACTGATGGCCTGGGCCCTTCCCCTCCCCCCCCCCCCCCCCCGCAAGGTGAGAGCAAAAGGGTTGGAGAACAAAGGAATCGGGTGACCACCTGGCCCGGGAAAGGGACAAAGCCCAGAGGAGGAGGGGCTGGAGGGGGTTTTCAGTTTGGGGTTGGCTGGGACATGGAGTGAAGTGCAGACGTGGTTGTCTGGCTCACTGTCCTCCAAAATGGACCCAGCTGAGGGGTCCCGTTCTCTGCACCTGCAAGCTCTGTTTTAGACCATGTTCCTGTCGTCTAATAAACCTTCTGTTTTACTGGCTGGCTGAGAGTCACGTCTGACTGCGAAGTTGGGGTGCAGAACCCTCTGGCTTCCCCAGGAGCCCCGCCTGAGCGGACTCGCTGGGGGGAAGCGCACGGAGGGGCAGAGGATGCTGAAGGCTCCGAGGTCAGACCCAGGAAGGTGGAAGCTGTGTGAGCTGTGTGTCCTGAAGACAGGCTGCTCACAGAAAGGTGACTGCCCCAGAGTCCTGACTGGCTTCATGGGGAGCAGTTCCAGAGCATCGCCCAGGGACTCCGTGACAACTGGTGGCAGCAGTGGGATGTACTGCACCCCGTGGATGGTGCTTCCTGCAGTAAGTGACTGGGGAGCAGTAACACGAAGGGGGATTGCCGAGGACCAGGCCTGCTGAAGGCTCAGAGAGGAGCAGTTTCGGGGGGCGGTTAACCCCTGGGAGTGTGTGACCAGTGAGAAGGACTGTGCAGTAACAGGGTTCCCCTGGGGATTGCAGCGAGCAGTCCAAGGGGCGGAGGAGTCTGCAGCTCGACCTTGGCAAAGAGGTGGTGACCTCGAGAAGGGCTGGCACACTAGGGGTTCTCCCTGGAAACCGTGGGGAGCTGAGAACACACGGGCCTGTGAGTCCACAACAACTTGGGAGGAGCGGAGTAATGGCCTGTCACCGTCTCCTTAAGAAGGACATTGTCACCCTGTGCAAAAAGAGAGGGTTGAGCGTTGGAAAGTTCACCAAAGCAGAGTTAATCGTGCAGCTGGAGGAGGATGACCGCTCTAAGGAACAGATTCCTGACCCCAACTGGGGCTATAGCAGGATCTGGGAGCAGCTGAAGCGGGAGCCAGGCATCGCCAAGACTCCTGTCCCCGACCAGACGGGGGTCTTCACGATCGGGTTCCCCATCGGGGGATCGAGACGGACGGGATTGGAGCTGAGTCTGAGAGAGCAAGAGGACCGTGGGAGACAGCGAGAGCCCGAGAAAGAGCTGCAGAAGCAGCAGCAGCATGAACTGGCGGTGGGGGAGCGGAGAGGCCTAGGGGACCTCCCCGGGGTGAGTGGGGATAGATCCCGGGGGGCCAGTTCCGCAGGGAACCTCGAGACTAAATTGCTGCCCCTGGTTAAGGAGGGGGGGTGTGTGGATGCCCACCTCACTGCCTTTGAGCAGGCTGGCGATTTGAACCAAGGGGACCCTGCGGAAAAGCCCTGGTGTCTAGCTCCCTTGCTGGGTCCCAAGGCCATAGACTCCGTCAGCCTGATGGTTGGGGATGTGGACAGGCCCCTCGGACCTCCAGTGGGAGCAGAAGGTGATGGTCAATGGGGAGACATTCTTGGGGTGGCCAAAGGGCATGGGCTGCATAAACCTTCCCACATGCGGCCTGCGAGTGCTATCGACCACCCCTGACCTAAGGGAGGGCGTGAAACTGGAAGGGCCTGGTGTAACTCCTACCAAGGAATGGGAGAGATGCTGGGGCATCCATGGGAACGTTGGTGGCTTCGAACTTCCCCAGGTCACCGGCTAAAGTGACCCCGCTCAGTTCAATCTCGAAGGGGGGAGAGATGTGACGAAGTGGGACTGTTCTTAATGTTTCCTCTGAATAGTGTGGGGGTGCCTCAGTTTCCCCTAGGCAGTTCTTAAGTATCTAGGGGGTGGAGTAAGGGTGTATGATCATTGCAGAGCCCTAGAGGGCAGGTGTGTGCAGGAGTCTGGACACAGAGAATGGCCAACACCCTGTTTCCTGGCAACTGATGGCCTGGGCCCTTCCCCCCCTGCAAGGTGAGAGCTGAAGGGTTGGAGAACAAAGGAATCGGGTGACCTCCTGGCCCGGGAAAGGAACAAAGCCCAGAGGAGGAGGGGCTGGAGGGGGTTTTCAGTTTGGGGCTGGCTGGGACATGGAGTGAAGTGCAGACGTGGTTGTCTGGCTCACTGCCCCCCAGAATGGACCCAGCTGAGGGGTCCCGTTCTCTGCACCTGCAAGCTCTGTTTTAGACCATGTTCCTGTCGTCTAATAAACCTTCTGTTTTACTGGCTGGCTGAGAGTCACGTCTGACTGCGAAGTTGGGGTGCAGGACCCTCTGGCTTCCCCAGGAGCCCCGCCTGAGCGGACTCGCTGGGGGGAAGCGCACGGAGGGGCAGAGGATGCTGAATGCTCCGAGGTCAGACCCAGGAAGGTGGAAGCTGTGTGAGCTGTGTGTCCTGAAGACAGGCTGCTCACAGAAAGGCGACTGCCCCAGAGTCCTGACTGGCTTCATGGGGAGCAGTTCCAGAGCATCGCCCAGGGACTCCGTGACATCCTGTGCCACCGGGGACCAGGTGATGCTCCTCATCCCCATGAGAAAGAACAAACTACAGGCTGCCTGGGACGGGCCCTTTAAGGTCATCAATCAGCTGAACGAGGTGAACTATGCAGTGGAACTGTCCAGCTGGGCTCACAGACACCCAGTGTACCATGTCAACATGATGAAGCCGCACTGGGACAGGGAGAATTTGGTACTGGCCATGTGTGGCCAGTGGGAGGAGCAGGGAGATGACCCCTTGGTGGATCTATTCCCTGAGACAATGGCCGGAATCAGTTCCCCTCTCTGACCAGCTAACCCCTGACCAGCAGGCAGAGATCGAGGGGTGCTGGGTTCCTACCAGCAGCTGTTCTCCAACTGGCCTGGCCTCACTAACCTGGCTGTCTACCAGGTGGAGACAGGAGCCAAACCCCCTGTAAGATGCTCCCCATTCCGGGTCACTGGGAAAACAGCCCAGGACCTGGAGAGAGAGGTCAAGGACATGCTGGCTTTAGGGTGATTCAGCCATTCAACAGCCCTTGAGCCTCTCCCGGGGTGCTGATCCCCAAGGAGGATGGGTCAATCTGGTTTTGTGTGGATTACCAGACGCTTAATGCCATCACCACGTTCGATGCCCACCCCATGCCTAGGCCTGATGAGCTCCTAGACAAGCTAGGCGGGGCTCATTATCTCACTACTGTGGATCTCACCAAGGTCTACTGGCAATTACCTTTGGATCCGGATGCCCAACTGAAATCTGCTTTTATCACCCTTCTGGGGTTATATGGGTTCCTGGTCCTACCTTTCGGCCTAAAGGGGCCACCTGTCATCTTCCAGAGCCTGGTGGACCAGTTACTCAAGGGGATGGAGAATTTTGCCCTGGCGTATATTGATATCTGTGTCTTCAGCCAGACCTGGGAGGACCATGTGTCCCAGGTTAGACAAGTGCTGGACCGGCTCCGGCATGCAGGTCTGACTGTAAAAGGTTGAGAAGTGCAAGGTGGGGATGTCAGAGGTGTCATACCTGGGCCCCAAAATGGGGCCCGGCTGCCTAAAGCCAGAGCCAGCCAAGGTGGAGGTGATCAGAGATTGGCCTGCTCCCCAGACTAAGAAGCAGGTCCAGGCTTTCATTGGGATGGCAGGATACTACCGAAGATTTGTGCCCACTTTAACGCCAGAGCCGCCCCCATCACTGAGCTATGCAAGAAGGGGAAGCCAGACAAGGTGGTCTGGACCGAGCAGTGCCAGGAGGCTCTCTTGCTCTGAAGGAGGCTCTGGTCAAGGGCCCGGTGCTGGGAAACCCAGACTTTGACAAGCCCTTTGTGGTGTTCACCGACGCCTCAGACACGGGGCTGGGGGCGGTGCTAATGCAGGTTGATGGAAAGGGGGAGAGACACCCCATCAGGTAGCTGAGCAGGAAGCTGCTGCCCCGGGAGCAGAACTGTGCGGCCATAGAAAGGAATGGGCCCTTAGAAAGCTGCAGCCATATCCGTTTGGGTGGTGCTTCACTGTGTACAGCCACCACTCGCCCCTGACGTGGCCACACCCAATGAAAGGGGCCAATGCCAAGCTCCTGAGGTGGCATCTCCAGCTTCAGCATTACGACGTGGAGGTGGTCCACGTGAAGGGGAGTGCCAACGATGCTCTGTCCTGGAGAGAGGGGGCCCGAACTTCCCCAGGCCGCTGGCTAAAGTGGCCCCACTCAGTTCGGTCTCGGAGGGGGAGAGATGTGACGAAGTGGGGTTTTATTCATCTTGTTATGTTGCATGTGAGTCTTACTGTCCTAGACTAATACGGTGTGTGCCTCAGTTTTCCGGGTGGTGATGGGGTGATTCCAAGGGGCTGTTTAATAGCAGAGGCATAGAAGAGATCCTGTGGATCTGTGACAGCACAGCAGTACAAAGCACAGCGGGAAACTGAGGCATGCATTGGAAACATACAAATCTTACCAAGCTTCACGCTCATCACGGCACGCACCTGTCATCCCTGCTGCGCTCTGATTGTAGCTCTGTGGGGCAGGGCCATCTCTTGGCTCTGTGTCTCTACAGGCCTGGCACAGTGCGGCCCTGGCCAGGGCCACTGGTGCTGTGGCCACACACGGAATCCGGAACATTGGTAAATGTTGGGGTTGGCCGGCTCCGGGCCCTGGGGAGTCCTTGGCAGCACGGAGGGCAAGGCCCTGCCTAGGACACAAGATGCCCATGCCGTGCCCAGCAAGGGACTTCCTGGCTCCTGCCAGAGCCATTTCTGGTGCCTAGAGCTGAACGCAGCAGTCTTAGTGAGGGGCACAGCCCGTGCTGCTGGCTGGCACGGCCAGAGCTGGATTTCTAGCATCACGTGGGTGTAGCTGCCCACCCAGTTTGCATGCGCCATTCCTGGGAGTGTGATACAGACCAGGTACCAGCCAGAGACTGGGATGGGCTGTCGGTACACACGGCTCCCTGCCTGGTGCGTGCATCAGCCACAGGCATGTATCTAGCTCCAGGGGGGCCAGCGGCCCAGCCCCGCAGTGACGGGCTCCCTGTGGACTGCTGGTCTGAGTAACTGGTGCCCCGGCAAGGTGGGGCTCTGGGCACAGGTCTCTGGGCTGCAGAATCTTCTTCCGCCTGCCAGCCCCATGCCCCCGGGCACAGGAGCCAGGCTAGGCCGAGCCCCCAGGTACCTGGAAATGCACAGAAAGAGCAGAGATGGGGGCTCTGGCAGGCCATGGGGAGCACCATGCAGGGGCAGAAGGGTCCCCACAGAAGCTGGGCCGCAGGGACCCAGCGCAGGCCCCGCAATCCCACTGGCCTCCCATAGTGGGTGCCACAGCACTGACTGGGTGAGGAGGGGGTGGCTTTTATTCCACAGGAAATATGCCCCCCCCCCCAAAAAAAAAAAAAAAAAAGCAGATGAGAAGAGCTTGGCCCATCTGTCCCGAAGCCTGACAGCTGGGGCAGGCCCAGGGGATGGTGCTGCGCAGGCTGGAGACCCCAGGGCCCAGGGTCTCTCAGCACCCAGGAGGCAACAAACATAGCCTGGGTCTGGCCGATGGCGACAGCTGGAGCCTGCGATGCCCCAGGCCATGGTGGAAGACAAGTCCGGGGCGGGCACGCCGGGCGTTTGCAGGGAGGCTGGCACAACGTGGGCTCTGCCCAAGGGGCCCTGGGGCTGACAGCTCCAGCCCAGGGCAGCGTCTCCTGGCCTGGGAGCCCGCGGTCCGTTACCGCTGCCTCTTGCGGATGCTGACGAGCTCCTGGTGAACGGTGCTGAAGCTGGGCCGTTTCCGGGGATCGTACTCCCAGCACCGCTGCATCAGCCTGTACACGTCCTCAGGACACTGCTTGGGGGGGTCCAGCCGCACCCCTGGGGAGAGAGGGCAACAGGCTCAGGGCCCAGGGCAGCCTGCCCCCAGGGCTGTAGAGAGCCGGAAACACCCTCAGCCCCTGGCGGCTGCTCACTGGAGGGGGATCCCCTGGGCTCCCTCTCGGTGGGGGCAGGGGGCAGGGGGTGGCTCCAGGCCTGGCAGCAGCCCAGGTACCTCCTGTTCATGGGGAGATGGGGCCTGGCCGGGGCAGAGCCTGCTTACCTTGCTCAATGGCTTCGCGCGTCTGGGTGTTGCTCAGGTGGGAATAGGGGGTGGCGCCGAGGCTGAAGGCTTCCCACAGCAAGATCCCGAAGCTCCAGACATCGCTCTCTGAGGAGTAGCGGCCTGGGGAGAGGGGGGCTTCAGGCAAGGGGCCGGGAGCATGGCTACCTCCAGCCCCTCGCCAGCTGCTCCAGCCATGGGGATAGCGTCCCCCTTGGGGCTCCTAGGCAGGCACTCACCGCGCTGCAGCTTGGGCAGCCCCCACTCCCTGCAGACACCGCCCTGGTCCAACGGGGACGCAGCATCTGGCCCCACCTTCCCATGGCCTCCCGCTGCCCCAGCCAGAGGGATCCAGGCAAGGGGACGCCGGGCGATCGGCCACCCCGGTCAATAACCGCATGCAAAGAGCTGAGCAGAGCTGTGGGGTGCCCGGCGCCCGCGTCCCCGTATTGGGCCTGAGGGACGCATGAGGAGCTGTGTGGTCTAGGGGACTCGTAGCCAGGACTCCTGGGTTCTTTCTTGCTGTGTGCAAGTGCTTTCCCCCGGTGCCCTGGCTGCACCCAGTGCTTGCATGGTGCTAGATGGCCCCTGGCGGTCTGCAGAGGGCACCAGCTCAGAGGGATGGGGCTGGGAGCCGCAGCAAACACCATACCGTAATTCAGTGCCTCTGGCGCTGTCCATTTCACAGGAATCTGCTTCAAGCCTCCTGTGGAGGCATAGACCCCGTCCTCCTCCTCCCGCGACATCCCAAAGTCACTGATCTTCAGCGAGTTCTTCTCCGTCACCAGGCAGTTGCGAGCTGCGAGGTCCCTGCGGGAGAGGAGCAGCTGAGCGCCAGGCCCTGCAGCCCGCCAGGCTACTGGCTACAGAGAATCTGGAGGCCCCAGCCATGACCCTGAGACGAAGCGGGACTGTTCTTAATGTTTCCTCTGAATACTGTAGGGGTGCCTCAGTTTCCCCTTTGCATTTCTTAAGTCTCTAGGTGGTGGGATAAGGGGTTGTCATTGTTGCAGAGCAAAGGGCCAGGGTACATAAATGGCCGACACTCTGTCTCCTGGCCACTGATGACTGGGGCCCTTCCCCCCTGCAAGGTGAGAGCTAAAGGGTTGGAGAACAAAGGAATCCGGTGACCTCCTGGCCTGGGAAAGGGACAAAGCCCAGAGGAGGAAGGGTGTAGAGTGAGTCAGTTGGAGCTGGCTGGAGACATGGAGTGAAGTGCAGATGGGGTTGTCTGGCTCACTGCCCCCCAAAATGGACCTGACTGTGCAGTCCTGTTCTCTGCACCTACAAGCTCTGTTTTAAACCTCTGTTTTACTGGCTGGCTGAGAGTCACATCTGAATGCAGAGTTGGGGGGCAGGACCCTCTGGCTTCCCCAGGACCCCGCCTGAGTGGACTCGCTGTGGGAAGCACACGGAGGGGCAGAGGAGGCTGAATGCTCCAAGGTCAGACCCAGGAAGGTGGAAGCCGTGTGAGCTTTTTCTGCCCTGCAGACAATCTGCTCCCAGAGAGGAGACTTCACCAGAGTCCTGACTGGCTTCACAGGGAGCAGTTCCAGAGCATCACCTGGGGACTCGGTGACAACCGCTCCTGACCCCATGGCAGACGGGCTCCTGCAGGCCAAGGGCACAAACGAGCTTGGAGAAAGTCGACCTGCCTGAGGACGCCTGCCCAGCCCATCTCCCTGAGGGCACTAGGGCCTGCTGTTTATCACCGGGCAGAGAAGTCTGGACTCTGGGCTCTAGTCACAGCTCCGGCTCTCTGGGTGACCCCGTCCAGGGCCCCAGTCCCCATCTGTCACATGGGACAAGGACACTCCCTTCCGTGGGAAGCCCTGGGGCTGGAGGGCTGCAGAAACGTAGTGAACCCAGGCAGAGACACTGCCAGGTCTCCAGGGTAAGGCCAGGGCTCTAACCCAGCGGGCATCTCACGGGAGCCTTCCCAGCTCTCAGGACAGGTACTCGCTGGCAGACCATGGCTGGTATCACCTGCAGCGCCCAGCACACTCAGGGGCCCCAATAGCAGCTGATGTCCAGGCATTGACTGGGATGCTCAGGGCCCTCTATCATGGCTGGGGTTTGGGCAGCGCCTGGTGGGGTGACCAGATGTCCCGATTTTATAGGGACAGTCCCGATTTTTGGGTCTTTTTCTTATATAGGTTCCTATTACCCTCCACCTCAGTCCCGATTTTTCACACTTGCTGTCTGATCACCCTAGTGCCTGGGGCACTCGGGGGCCCTGATCTCGGCTGGGGTCTGGGCAGCGCCCGGGGCACTCAGGGGCCCTGATCTCGGCTGGGGTCTGGGCAGGGCCCGGGGCACTCGGGGGCCCTGATCTCGGCTGGGGTCTGGGCAGCGCCCGGGGCACTCAGGGGCCCTGATCTCGGCTGGGGTCTGGGCAGGGCCCGGGGCACTCGGGGGCCCTGATCTCGGCTGGGGTCTGGGCAGCGCCCGGGGCACTCGGGGGCCCTGATCTCGGCTGGGGTCTGGGCAGCGCCCGGGGCACTCGGGGGCCCTGATCTCGGCTGGGGTCTGGGCAGCGCCCGGGGCACTCGGGGGCCCTGATCTCGGCTGGGGTCTGGGCAGGGCCCGGGGCCGGGGCCCTGATCTCGGCTGGGGTCTGGGCAGGGCCCGGGGCACTCGGGGGCCCTGATCTCGGCTGGGGTCTGGGCAGGGCCCGGGGCACTCGGGGGCCCTGATCTCGGCTGGGGTCTGGGCAGGGCCCGGGGCACTAGGGGGCCCTGATCTCGGCTGGGGTCTGGGCAGGGCCCGGGGCACTCGGGGGCCCTGATCTCGGCTGGGGTCTGGGCAGCACCTGGGATGCTCGGGGCCCCTGAGCGCAGACTGGGTCTCTGCATGCTGCAGCAATGCACATATCTGTGGCTGCCTGTGGGGAGCGCGGTGTCTCAGAGCGAGCCTGGGCGGAAGGTCTCACCTGTGGATGCAGTGCTTGCTTTCCAGGTACTCCATCCCAGCAGCAGCATTCGCCGTCATCTTGAGCAGCTCCTTCGCCTTCAGCTGCAGCCCCTCGCTGCGCAGGAAGGTCAGGAAGTCCCCTCCTGTGTGGGGAGGGTCGTGCTGACCTCAGGGAGTTAGGGGCCTGGCTGCAGGCCTCAGGCGCCTGCCACCAGCCCTTGGGGGGAGTGCGGCTGGGACACGGGACTGGGGGAGGTTCATTAGGGTCCAGGGTGTGGGAAGCAGGGCTCACCGGGAGTGAACTGGAGGGAGGAGGGGCTGGGGGCCAGGGCCAGGGCAACAGCAGGCCAGGCTGCAAGGCGGGGGGACTCACCCTGCACCAGCTCCATGACGATGTAGATGGGCTGCTTCTGGGTGCAGACGCCAATGAGCTTGACAATGTTGGGGTGGCTGTACTGCTTCAGGATCCTGGGGGCAGAGACACGCCGGTCACCCCCTGGCCGTCACAGCCTGGGGCGTGAGCCAGTCGCAACAGCCAGCAAGGGGGCTTCTCTGTCAGTACATTTCAACAGCACGGAGGGCACCTACCCACCCGCCATCACCCTGGGCTTGGGGACCCACTGTCTGGGCTGGGTTTGTTTGGGATCCCCTGTCCCTGTCAGGTCTGGGTGGGGGGGTCTCTGTCTGGGCTGGGTTTGTTTGGGATCCCCAAACAAACTGTTCCTGTCAGGTCTGGGGGGTCCCTGGTCTGGGCTGGGTTTGGAGTCCCCCCAGGCTCCAGAAGATTTTGATCCAGAAAAACTGTTTTAATTGAAATTTAAGCAAGCCCAGAAACCCCAAAGCCCCCTCCCCATGGCTGGCAAATGGCCCCCCAGGGCAGAGTGTGGGCTGGGGGACAGAGAGTGGAGTGGACAGAGGCCCTTGGCACTGGGGGGAAGAGCGCGGCACTGGGGGGCAGAGCAGGGCGCTGGGGCTCCGTACAGACCTGGCTTCCTGCAGGAATTTGGCCTTGAGCTCCGGCGGGAGGGTTTCGCGGCAGGACTTCACAGCCACTGGGGTGTTGTCAGTGAGCAGGCGGCCGCTGAACACCTCCCCAAAGTTACCCTGGGAGACAAAGCAAATGCACCAGCTGCCTCTACCCCCAGTCGATCCCGGAGTCCAGCTGAGCCAGCTCCCTCTGCCTCGTGCCAGGTGGGGCATTAACATGGGCCAGGGCCTGTTCTGCCTCTGGCATGCCTGGACGCTGCTTCGGTGATTCAGGTCCCGTCGACCCCTCCTCCTAGGGGCTGACTGGGGAGTGGGCACCAGCCGCCGCAGAGTGACAGCACCAGCCGGGAACCGAGGGACCCATTTCTAACCACCAGAGAGGCTTCCTCATTGCCTGGGTCCTTACGTCACGGGTGGCCGGCAAGGAAGCGCGATGCCCCGAATGACCGGCTGGACGAGGGCTCCCAGCCTGGCAGCAAGGGTGTGCAGCCACGCTGCTCCCAGCTGGGTCAGCGCCAGGGTAACACAGCAGGAGCAGGGCAGTCTGTGGCCTGGCAGAGCTGTCAGAGAGCCCGGGCCCAGCCTGACCCCCAGACGCCCCTAGCCTCAGACAGAGAGCCTGGCACAGACAGCAGCTCCCTGGCGCACTGGCAGGTCCTGCTGGGCTCTGGCTGCAACAAGGGAAGTTAGAAATCCTGCCATTCAGTACCTTTTATTAAATTGAAACTAATCTGCATCGTAACGCTGCCTGCACACCCTAACCCTAACCCCCCACGATCCTGGGCCTGCTGCGCGCTTCCTCAGAGCAGTGCCCCAGCAGTGGCCGAGCCCATGCCTGCCCTGGGGGCACTCACCCGCCCGATGCGCTCGCCCAGCACCACGTCCTCATGGTTCAGCACCCATTTGTCCTGGGGAAGGAAGGCAGGAGTCAAAGAGCAGGAAACTATCCAGCCCCAGCATTCCCCGCCCTGCCCTCACCCCCACCCCCGAGGGAGCCCTTTGTCCGCAACGCCCAGCCCCTGGGGAGCCGTGCAGTGGGGCCAGCGTGGTACCTTGGGGATGGGCTTGGCCAGGATGATTCCGCTCTTCTTGGTGACGGGCTGCTGGGTCTGCAGGAAATGGTCGATGAGCAGCGGGATGGTGCAGAAGCCCTCGCCCTCCAGACGGTACATGTCCTGGGAGAGGTGGAGGCGCTGGGATCTTACTCTGCCCCTGCCCTGCCCTCCCAGCCCTGCTCACAGACCCCCCAACCTGCCCTGTATAGACCCCCATGCCCCCTAACCTCCCCCACATACACCCCCCACCCCTACAGCTCAATGCACACCATACACCCTCACCCAATACACCCCACGCACACCCCCTATCTCCCCCATTCCCGGTAGAACTACAGATTGCAGGTCAGCACCAGTGCCTGCCAGGGGCCTGGCTAGGCCTGGCCTTGGGAGCCGTGGGGCCGTCTCTCTGGCTGCTGGTGCCGGGGATTGTGACGATGTGAGGCAGCAGGGAGGGGGGAGTGTTGACCTGGGAATGTGCCTTGGGGATGGGAGACCTGAGAGCCTGTAACCTGAGCCAGGACGGGGAGGGGGAGGTAACACCTCTGCCTGGGAATGCGGACAGAGGCTGCAGGAAGGAAGTTTCAGTTTGGTGCTGGGTGGAGGAACGCAGGGAACCCCAGGGCTGGGGTCTAAGCTCCCTGCTCCCCCAGAAGGACTTGACTGAGGGGTCCTGGGTGTACCCACAAGCTCTGTTTTGGACTGTGTTCCTGTTGTCCAATAAACCTTCTGTTTTACTGGCTGGCTGAGAGTCTCAGTGAATCCCTGGAAGAGGGGTGCAGGGCCTGGACTCCCCCACACTCCGTGACAGGGATGCCCAGCCTGGGGGAGCGTTTGTGAGTGGCTGGGAAGAGGGTCCAACGGGGCACAAGGAGTGGCAGGAAAAAACCCCGGCCTCGCATCACAGGTCCTCCAGCCCCCGCCCATGGGCACTCCCCTCGGAGCTCCTGCCCAGGCTCTACCAGGCAGGCTGGGGTCCTATGTCCCAGCGGGGCAGGCAGGGGCAGCTGCAGGATGGCCCCGGAGCTGCCCCCAGAGCTGCCTGCGCTGCCCATGTCAGCGCCCTCCCGGTGCCCGGCCCCTGGCCCCACTCACGTCGCAGGCCTGGATGATGAAGTGCCGGGGCAGCCCGTCCCACAGCACACTCAGCACGTGCTCCTGCTTGCCCTGGCTCTCCCGCACCAAGAAGTCCCCGCTGTGGAGCAGCAGCTCCTGCACCTCCGCCCGGGGGATGGCGCCGTGGTACCAGGTCTGCTGGCACAGGGGCTTCTGCACTTCGGGGAGGAGCGGCAGGGGGGGCGGCACCTGGGAGACAGAGACGGGGTAAGCGGGATGGGTAGGGGACCCCGTCAGCACCCACAGGGGGCTGCCCAGAGCAACGGGTACGGCAGGGACATCCAGGCCCCCTTCTCCACACAGACTGCGGGGCTCAGGCGGAGATGGGGAGGAGAGGGCAGGGAGGAAATGGGGAGGGAAGGGGTGAGGTGGGGAGAGGGAGTGGGAGTGGGCTGGGGAGGGGCGGCAGAAGGTAGTGGAGTGGGAGAGGGAAGGGGAGAGGGAAGGTGGGGGCAGGGAAGGGGAGGCAGTAGCGCTGGGGTACTCACTGAGTACTTGGGGCGGAAGATGCCCGAGATGTGATTCCTGAGGGTCTCCAACGCGCTGGCTCCTGGGCGCTCCTGCTCCTGCTCCTGCCAGGGGGCAGAGAGGGGCTGAGCTGTGTGGCTGGGAGTGTCCCATGCCCGAGTGCAGGAATGGCCTGGGCCGGGCACTGGGTGGGCTGGACTCTGGCCAGGTGCCCGTGGGCTGCACCCAGGGCTGGGCGTGGGGCAGGGCACCCTCACCACACAGCAGCACCCACATTTCTTAGCAAGGCCAATGCCCTGGGCAGCCACTGGGGCCAAGCTGGGCCTGGTGCCCGAGTGTCCCTGACTGTCTCCAAGGCAGGGCACTGGGGGTGGCTCAGGGCAGGGTGCTGGGGGTGGGGCAGGGCGGGGCACTGGGGGTGACTCAGGGCGGGGTGCTGAGGGGGTGGGGTAGGTCAGGGCGTTGGAGGTGGGGCAGGGCAGGGCGCTGGGGGTGGGGCAGGGCGGGGCACTGGGGGTGACTCAGGGCGGGGCGCTGAGGGGGTGGGGTAGGTCAGGGCGTTGGAGGTGGGGCAGGGCAGGGCGCTGAGGGTGGGGCAAGGCATGGGGGTGGGGCAGGGGGGGCACTAGGGGTGACTCAGGGCAGGGCATTGGAGGTGGTACAGATGTGACACAGCAGGGAGGAGGAGTGTTGACCTGGGAATGTGGCAGGGGAGTTTCAATGGGAGACCTGAGAGCCTGTCACCTGAGCCAGGAGGGGGAGAGGGAAGTAACACCTCTGTGGGCAAATGGTGGTGCACCCCCTGTGACGAAGCGGGACTGTTCTTAATGTTTCCTCTGAATAGTGTGGGGTGCCTCAGTTTTCCCTAGGCAGTTCTTAAGTATCTAGGGGGTGGGGTAAGGGTGTATGATCATTGCAGAGCCCTAGAGAGCAGGTGTGTGCAGGGGTCTGGACGCAGAGAATGGCCGACACCCTGTTTCCTGGCAACTGATGGCCTGGGTCCTTCCCCCCTGCAAGGTGAGAGCTAAAGGGTTGGAGAACAAAGGAATCCAGAGACCTCCTGGCCCAGAAAAGGGACAAAGCCCAGAGGAGGAGGGGCTGGAGGGAGTTTCAGTTTGGGACTGGCTGGGACATGGAGTGAAGTGCAGACGGGGTTGTCTGGCTCACTGCCCCCCAAAATGGACCCAGGTGAGGGGTCCGGTTCTCTGCACCTACAAGCTCTGTGTTAGACCATGTTCCTGTGGTCTAATAAATCTTCTGTGTTACTGGCTGGCTGAGAGTCTCATCTGCCTGCGAAGTTGAGGGGCAGGACCCTCTGGCTTCCCCAGGACCCCGCCTGAGCGGACTCGCTGTGGGAAGCGCACGGAGGGGCAGAGGAGGCTGAATGCTCCGAGGCAGACCCAGGAAGGTGGACGCTGTGTGAGCTGTGTGTCCTGAAGACAGGCTGCTCCCAGAGAGGAGACTTCCCCAGAGTCCTGACTGGCTTTATGGGGAGCAGTTCCAGAGCATCGCCCGGGGACGCCGTGACACCCCCACATCCCTGGGGTCCTGCTTGGCCCTCCATTTCAGGTGCACCCTCACCACAGGCACCTTGAATGGTGTCCCGCCCACCCCGTCAGGGTCAGGTAGGTATCGGGCACCACCCGATCTGGGGCCACCACCTCGGACCGAGCCAGCGTCACCTCCGCGCCCGTATCCCAGTATCCATGGACCTTCCTCCCATCCACCTCCTGGGGAACAAGGCACTCTCTCCGGAGGGACAGCCCCACGCCCACCCTGTAAACCGAGAACCCTGAGTCCAGAGCCTCCAGCCCTCTCGCGGGGCTGGCCGGGGGTACTCTTCCCTCCGGAGCAGGTGATAAGCTGGCAGCCCCCTTTGCCTGGGCCGTCTGCCCCTCGTCCAGCTGGGTCCCTACCCAGTTAACCCTGGGTAGGTTGGGTCTGCTCAGTCTGTCGCTGAGCCTGGGGCACTGGGTCCGTACGTGGCCTCTCTGGCCACAGTGATAGCAGCTCAGGTCACGTTGGTCCCCTTGAGCGGGTCGGATGGTCCTGACGCCAGACGTTCCCCTTGGGAGGCGGTTCTCCACATTTCCCCGCTGGGAGGCCCCATGGTGACTCTCTCTCTGCATCGGGGGGGCCTGTTCTTTTGGGATTCCTCCCGGCTACCCCCTGACCGACTGTTCACAAACTCGTCGGCCAGCTGCCCTGCATGCTGGGGGTTCTCTAGCTTTTTGTCCACCAGCCACAGCCTCAGGTTGGATGGGCACTGTTCATACAGTTGCTCCAGTACGATTAGGTCAAGCAGGTCCTCTTTAGCTTGGGCCCCAGCAGTCCACTTGTGGGCATATCCCTGCATCCGGTTGGCCAGTTGTAGGTAGGTGACCTCAGGCGTTTTACGCTGACTCCGGAACCTTCTCCGGTATATCTCGGGGGTCAGCCCAAACTCACGGAGCAGGGCCTATTTGAACAGTTCATAGTCCCCTGCCTCCGCCCCTGTCATTCGGCTGTACACCTCCACGGCTCTGGGGTCCAATAAGGGGGTGAGAAACTGGAGCCTGTCTGCAGGGTCAACCCTGTGCATCTCGCAGGCATTCTCAAAGGCTGTCAGGAAGATATCTATGTCCTCCCCCTCCTTCCGCTGGGCCAGGAAGCACTTGTCAAAGCTCCTTGCAGTCTTGGGTCCCCCCTCACGCACCGCAGCCGGGGCCCCACTGCTCCTCAGCCTGGCCAGCTCCAGTTCATGCTGATGTTGTTTCTCCTTCTTCTCCTGCTCATGCTGACGCTGCTTTTCATGATCCTCCAGCTCCCTCATTTTCATCTCCCTCTCCCATTCCAGCCGCCTCCGCTCCAGGGATGGGGAGCTCCACCGGGAGGATCCCCTGCTGGCTGCCGGGGTCAGGGTGCCCTCGGTATTCGCTGGGCTTCCCCCAACCCCTCCCCCAGGCCTAGGTAGGAAGGGTCTCGGGATGTCCTCAGCAGCAGTCTGGGCAGGGCGCTGGGGGTGGCGGGATGCTGGGGGTGGGGTGGGGCAGGGCTCTGGGGGTGGCGGGCTGCTGGGGGTGGGGTGGGGCAGGGCAGGGCGCTGGGGGTGGCGGGATGCTGGGGGTGGGGTGGGGCAGGGCAGGGCTCTGGGGGTGGCGGGATGCTGGGGGTGGGGTGGGGCAGGGCAGGGCTCTGGGGCTGGCGGGATGCTGGGGGTGGGGTGGGGCAGGGCAGGGCTCTGGGGGTGGCGGGATGCTGGGGGTGGGGTGGGGCAGGGCAGGGCTCTGGGGGTGGCGGGATGCTGGGGGTGGGGTGGGGCAGGGCAGGGCGCTGGGGGTGGCGGGATGCTGGGCGCTGGGGCTGGTGCAGTGGGGGACGTGCTCACCGTGGAGGAGAGGGAGTTCCTGTCGTCCTGCAGGGGCAGGCCTGGACGGGGGGTGCGGGAGCCCAGCTGGTCCAGCTTGTGGTGCAGTACGTCCCGCTGGGCTTGCAGCTTGGCCTGGGCGCACAGGGAGACCTGGAAATGCAGCTGCGCCTCCTGCAGAGCCTGGCGCTTCCCCAGCAGGTGCACCCTGTGCCAGACAGCAACAGCCGCGGCTCAGAGCTCCCCGCCCGCCCAGAGCTCCCGGCCCAGAGCTCCCCGCCCGCCCAGAGCTCCCCGCCCGCCCAGAGCTCCCGGCCCAGAGCTCCCCGCCCGCCCAGAGCTCCCGGCCCAGAGCTCCCCGCCCGCCCAGAGCTCCCGGCTCAGAGCTCCCCGCCCGCCCAGAGCTCCCGGCCCAGAGCTCCCCGCCCGCCCAGAGCTCCCGGCCCAGAGCTCCCCGCCCGCCCAGAGCTCCCGGCCCAGAGCTCGCCCGCCCGCCCAGAGCTCCCCGACCGCCCCACCCGGCTGCCCCAGTCACGGGTATCCCTGAGCAAATGGGCATGGACTGGCATTTCCAGCCCCCACCCCACTTCCATGTCACGGGGGACAGAATCCCCAGCACTGCTGCCTCTGGCCGGGGTAGGGGAATACCCTGCTGAACCCCACTGGGCCACAGTAGGCACAGATCCGAAGTCACACTGCATCCCTCCCCCCATCACACTGCTCCCTTTTCTCCCCCGCTCACAATGCTCCCCCTCCCTCCAGATCTCTCATGGACCCACTTCTCAGGTTCTCACCAAAACCCCTCTATCCCTGGGTCCCACCACCCCTTGTCTCACTACCCCCACCCAGGTCACATCCCGCACCTCCCTGCTTCCGGGGCCCCCCCACCTCACTGCTCCCTGCCCTCCCATCTCACCACTCCCGGGGCCCCCCACCTCACCACTCCCTGCCCCCTTCTCACCGGTCCCTCGGGCCCCCCATCTCACCGCTCCCTGGGACCCCCCATCTCACTGATCCCTTGTGATGTTATTGACATAAATTGGGACCATATAGATCATTGTTGCAACCAAGGTCCTGTAATGGCACCAAATCTTGTATAAAGTGTTATGGTTGGCTGGTTAGGATTATGCTATCTGTATGCATGTATCATTTTTGTATTTAAAGTTATAAGTATTGTCTCTGTACTGTCTGTAGCTCAAACTTGTGCTGTGTTTCTGGGTGACACCCCAGACAAGCTGGTGTCAGCTCTGCCTAGCCTGCTGGATGGCCCATTAAGGACCATCAGCTACACACCTGACCCATTGAGAGAAGGCAGACACACCTGGGGACTCAGCCAAGCATGCAGGGACCTGCCTATGGACAGAACTCTGAGGTTTTTCCAGGCCATGGGATGGGCAGCTTGTCTTTGGGACAAAGAAAGCAGAGACCACATGGCAAGAGACTACACAAAGCTGCTGCAGCTCCTCCATGTGGTCTTCAATCCTGCTTCCTACCTCTGGAGGGGTACAATTTGCTACAATTGGAAGCTCTACACAAAGGACTGAAGGACCCACCCCAGCTGGGCATGTTCTCTGGAGACCTGATTTGAACCTGCAGCTTATTCCATCACTGCTACAAGCCTGAACCAAGAACTTTGCCATCACTGTATGTCATTGATTCCGTTTAACCAATCCTAGCTCTCATCTCTATCTTTTTCCTTTTATGAATAAACCTTTAGATTTTAGATTCTAAAGGATTGGCAACAGTGTGATTTGTGGGTAAGATCTGATTTGTATATTGACCTGGGTCTGGGGCTTGGTCCTTTGGGATCGAGAGAACCTCTTTTCTTTTACTGGGGTACTGGTTTTCATACCCATTCGTCCCCATAACAAGTGGCACTGGTGGGGATACTGGGAAACTGGAGTGTCTAAGGGAATTGCTTGTGTGACTTGTGGTTAGCCAGTGGGGTAAAACCAAAGTCTTCTCTGTAAGGCTGGTTTGGTTTGCCTTGGTGTGCAAAGGAACCCCAGCCTTGGGCTGTAACTGCCCTGCTTGAAGCAATTTGTCCTGAATTGGGTCCCACCAGAACCAACATCATTACATCCCTCCCCCCATCTCACCGCTCCCGGGGCCCCACGCTCTGCTCCTCGCCCAGGAGCTCGGCCTGCAGGTCCTGGACACGCTGCCCTTTGCTGCTCATGATCTGCGTGGCAGTGGCTAGTTCCTCCTCCATGGCCGTCAGGCTGCAAGAGATAGCACCATCTAGTCCGGGGGTCCCCTGCTGGGCCTGACACCCCCCAGGGGTTCGGGAGCCAGCCAGTGGCTGCCCAGGGCCCAGCTGCCGGGTCTGACACCCCCGGGGGTTCGGGAGCCAGCCAGTGGCTGCCCAGGGCCCAGTGCTACAGCCCTCCCAGGGCCCCTCACGTCCCGGTGCCCGCCCCTGCCCTGTACCCACGTGTGCTGCACGCTCTCTATTGTCAGCTCATTCAGCTGCAGCTCGTCGGCCTCCAGGTTCTCGCTCTCCTCCAGCAGGCTCTCGTCGAAGGTCACCGTGGGCGGGATCTCGCTCACACACCTAGGGGGACAGTGCTCTGAGCGTGCTTAAAACCAGCCTCCAGCCCTGGCTGCGCACACAGACCTGGGGCAGGAACGGGGAATCCCTGCTGCCTTTCTGTGCCCTGCCCTGCCAGCATCCACCCCCAGGAGGGCAGGACTCTGACAAAGTGGGAATTGTCCGGCATGTTTATGAATTCTGTGTGTGCCTCAGTTTCCCCCACACTTTGCATTGCTGCCCAGTGGGGAAATGTGTTACATTTGCTCTTGCGGGCAGCGCAGGCCATGAGGGGAGGGTGTGGCCAGCTGTTTGGGCCAGGGGCTGGAATCTGCTGAAAGTGACTCCACGGCAGTGCAGAATCCCAGAGAGACCAGGATCTAGCAAACCACCCCAGCGGGAGGAGGTGCCCCCGCAGCAGGGAGACCCCAGCTTGAGAACAGGGGCCTGAGCTGGGACAGGCAGGGCACAGTTTTCAGAGGAACAGCCGTGTTAGTCTGTATTCGCAAAAAGAAAAGGAGTACTTGTGGCACCTTAGAGACTAACCAATTTATTTGAGCATGAGCTTTCGTGAGCCACAGCTCACTTCATCAGTGTGGGCTCTGGGGAAGTGGCTGCTCTCCCCCGGGCACTAAGGAGCCCAGGAGCACCAGAGCCCGATGGGGGGGTGTGACGAAGTGGGACTGTTCTTAATGTTTCCTCTGAATAGTGTGGGGTGCCTCAGTTTCCCCTAGGCAGTTCTTAAGTATCTAGGGGGTGGGGTAAGCATGTATGATTATTGCAGAGCCCTAGAGGGCAGGTGTGTGCAGGAGTCTGGACACAGAGAATGGCCAACACCCTGTTTCCTGGCAACTGATGGCCTGGGCCCTTCCCCCCTGCAAGGTGAGAGCTAAAGGGTTGGAGAACAAAGGAATCAGGTGACCACCTGGCCCGGGAAAGGAACAAAGCCCAGAGGAGGAGGGGCTGGAGGGTGTTTTCAGTTTGGGGCTGGCTGGGACATGGAGTGAAGTGCAGACGGGGTTGTCTGGCTCACTGCCCCCCAGAATGGACCCAGCTGAGGGGTCCCGTTCTCTGCACCTGCAAGCTCTGTTTTAGACCATGTTCCTGTCGTCTAATAAACCTTCTGTTTTACTGGCTGGCTGAGAGTCACGTCTGACTGCGAAGTTGGGGTGCAGGACCCTCTGGCTTCCCCAGGAGCCTGCCTGAGCGGACTCGCTGGGGGAAGCACACGGAGAGGCAGAGGATGCTGAATGCTCCGAGGTCAGACCCAGGAAGGTGGAAGCCGGGTGAGCTGTGTGTCCTGAAGACAGGCTGCTCACAGAAAGGCGACTACCCCAGAGTCCTGACTGACTTCATGGGGAGCAGTTCCAGAGCATCGCCCAGGGACTCCGTGACAGGGGGTTACTGCAGCCTGGCTGGGGCATTGCGCTAACGGTGGCCAGAACGGACGGTGATTTAACCTTGGCTTCCCTGTGCTGTCCTCAGGCCTTCCAGCGTACCAGGAGCCCTGCAACTCCTGGCTGGATGCCTCGCTCCCTGCAGAGCACAAGGCTCCCCAGACTCTGCTCCATGGGGCTCGCAGGGGGAAGCAGGCGGCTGGAGCCCAGGAGGCGGGGAGGCTGCGGGCCCCACAGGAAAGCAAAGCGGGCCCTTGGGAGCGGTTCCTCCAGGCGGCTGTTCAGAAGCGGGGTGTAGCTCCGAGCCTGGGGGGGCGGGAGGAGCCGTACCTGTGCTGCTGGAGGAAGCTGTCGTATTCTGTCGCGGGATCGATCGCCTGGATGGCGCGGGTGATCTCCTGGTGCACGGAGCCCACCTCCTCCTGAACCAGGCTGCTGACCTCGGCGTACTCCTGCAGGATCTCCTTCCTGTGGGGCACAGGTACCATAGCCCGGACCGTCCCCCCAGCCACAGCCCCCAGCCAGGCCTGCCACCGACACTGCCGTGAGCCCTCTCCCCTGGTGGCCTGGACCTATTGGGAGGGCGAGCCCCATGGGGCAGCTGCACACGGGGCCCTGAGCCCGACTCCCCAGGCCAGATCTCACCCCGTTGGCCCCAGAAACACGCCTGCAACTGTGAAGTGGGAGCTCGCGGACTGAGCGTGCTCATGTGCGCTTGGCAGCGGCTGTGCTCTCTGTGCCCTCCACGCTGCCTGCATCCCCCGGCACTGTGGCTGTAGCACTGGGCAGCATCCCTGCCGCACACATGGGTATGGCAGGGGCTGGGTATGCCGGCGGCAGGGGCTGGGTATGGCAGGGGCTGGGTATGCCAGCAGCAGGGGCTGGGTATGGCAGGGGCTGGGTATGCCGGCGGCAGGGGCTGGGTATGGCAGGGGCTGGGTATGCCGGCGGCAGGGGCTGGGTATGGCAGGGGCTGGGTATGCCGGCGGCAGGGGCTGGGTATGGCAGGGGCTGGGTATGGCAGGGGCTGGGTATGCTGGCAGCAGGGGCTGGGTATGGCAGGGGCTGGGTATGCTGGCGGCAGGGGCTGGGTATGGCAGGGGCTGGGTATGCCGGCAGCAGGGGGTGGGAATGCCAGCGGTGGGGGTGGGTATGCTAGTGGCAGCAGCAGGGGCTGGGTATGCCAGCAGTGGGGGTGGGAATGCCGGCAGCAGGGGGTGGGAATGCCAGTGGCAGGGAGCTGGGTATGCTGGTGGCGGGGGTGGGTATGCCAGCGGTGGGGGCTGGGTATGCCGGTGGCAGCAGCAGGGGGTGGGAATGCCAGCGGTGGGGGTGGGTATGCTAGTGGCAGCAGCAGGGGCTGGGTATGCCAGCAGTGGGGGTGGGAATGCCGGCAGCAGGGGGTGGGAATGCCAGTGGCAGGGAGCTGGGTATGCTGGTGGCGGGGGTGGGTATGCCAGCGGTGGGGGCTGGGTATGCCGGTGGCAGCAGCAGGGGGTGGGAATGCCAGCGGTGGGGGGTGGGTATGCCGGTGGCAGCAGCAGAGGGTGGGAATGCCAGCGGTGGGGGTGGGTATGCCAGTGGCAGCAGCAGGGGGTGGGAATGCCAGCGGTGGGGGTGGGTATGCTAGTGGCAGCAGCAGGGGCTGGGTATGCCAGCAGTGGGGGTGGGAATGCCGGCAGCAGGGGGTGGGAATGCCAGTGGCAGGGAGCTGGGTATGCTGGTGGCGGGGGTGGGTATGCCAGCGGTGGGGGCTGGGTATGCTGGTGGCAGCAGCAGGGGGTGGGAATGCCAGCGGTGGGGGCTGGGTATGCCGGTGGCAGCAGCAGAGGGTGGGAATGCCAGCGGTGGGGGTGGGTATGCCGGTGGCAGCAGCAGGGGGTGGGAATGCCAGCGGTGGGGGGTGGGTATGCCGGTGGCAGCAGCAGGGGGTGGGAATGCCAGCGGTGGGGGTGGCAGCAGCAGGGGGTGGGAATGCCAGCGGTGGGGGCTGGGTATGCCGGTGGCAGCAGCAGGGGGTGGGAATGCCAGCGGTGGGGGTGGGTATGCCGGTGGCAGCAGCAGGGGGTGGGAATGCCAGCGGTGGGGGTGGGTATGCCGGTGGCAGCAGCAGGGGGTGGGTATGCCAGCGGTGGGGGTGGGTATGCCGGTGGCAGCAGCAGGGGGTGGGAATGCCGGGGCGGGGCTCTTACAGGACAAGCGCCATCTCCTGGTGCAGGCCATGCAGGGAGCGGTGCAGGGCGGGCAGTGCCTGCTGGAAGTGCAGCGTATGGTGCAGCTCGGCAGCCTTGAGGGCCAGCACGTACTGGTTGTGCAGGGCGTAGAGCTTCCACAGGCTCCGCACGTACTTGTCCTTGGCCTTGTCCCGGTCCTTGTCTGGGGGGAGAGCGGCAGCTGGGGAAGTCCTGGGAGAGGCACCCCAGCCCAATTCCCCGCGGCCCCTGCTGGCGGGAAGGGAGCACTAGCGTTGCCAGGTGTCCGGTTTTTGACTGGAACGCCCAGTGGAAAAGGGACCCTGGCGGTTCTGGCCAGCACCAACGACCGGGCCGTTAAAAGTCCAGTCAGCGGCCCAGCAGGGGCCTGGGGCAATCAGGGACTGGGAGGCTCCACGCGCTGGGAACTGTGACCAGTGGGCGCTGCAGGGGGAGGTGCCTGCGGTGCAAAGGCAGTGCACACCGTGCAGAACCGCCTGGCCGCCCATGCACCTAGAGGGCGCAGGGACCTGGCGGCCACTTCCTCGGAGCCGTGGTAAGTGCTGCCAGGAACTTGCATCCCAACCCCCTGCACCCCAACCCCCCCGGTCCAGCCTGGAATCCCCTCCCGCACCCCAAACCGCTCATCCTCGGCCCCAGCCAGAGCTCTCCCCCCGCCACACCCCAATCCCCTGCCCCAGCCCAGTGAAAGCAAGTGACGGTGGGGGAGAGCGAGCGACGGGGTGTGTGTGTGGGGGGTGTGGAGCAAGCACGGGCGGGGCCTCGGAGAAGGGGTGGGGCAGAGGTGTTCAGTTCTGTGTGAATAGAAAGTTGGCAACTCTAGGGAGCGCAGCCCGGGGGACTGGCCAGCGGGGTCACGGACCAGCAGAGCAGGCTGAGTTTGCAAGGTATGAGGAAGTGGGGATTTCCCCTTGCTATGCTGTATGTGAGTCTTACTGTTTTGCATGAATGCTGTGTATGCCTCTGTTTCCCTGTGTATTACACCAATGCCTAGGTGGTGGGAATAAGCGTGTGTGACCTTTGTGGGGGTTGCTCCAGCTGCCTGCATGGATGCTGTGGCCGCCCCTTCATCACCTGAGACCCAGGAGGGGGATGCAACCAGGTGACTCTGGCTGGGAAGCAAAACAAAGGCCAGAGGAGGAGCAACTGACAGGGCAGGGGCCAGGCAGCTGGAAGCGAGTCAGTCGGCTGGCTTGGGGCTCAGGGGGCTCCCCTCCCCCCAAGATGGACTTGGCTGAAAGTCACAGATTTCTGTGCTAACGAGCTCTGCCCTACGCTGTGTTCCTGTGGTCTAATAAACCTTCTGTGTTACTGGCTGGCTGAGAGTCCCGTCTGACTGCAGAGTTGGGGGGCAGGACCCTCTGGCTTCCCCAAGACCCCACCTGGGCGGACTCGCTGTGGGAAGCGCACAGAGGTGCAGAGGATGTTGAATGCTCCAAGGTCAGACCCAGGAAGGTGGAAGCCGTGTGAGCTGTGGGTCCTGCAGACAGGCTGCTCCCAGAGAGGAGACTCCCCCAGAGTCCTGACTGGCTTCGCAGGGAGCAGTTCCAGAGCATCGCCCGGTGACGCGGGGACAGAAGAGCCTTGCTAGCAGCCAGAGCCAGGGAGTGGCAGAGCCGCAGGGAGCTTGGGGGTCAGGCCTGGCCTCAGCCAGAGCAGCCCCATTGCTGGCATCCTGGGCAAGCTTGGTGCTCCCCTCAGTGCCACTCACCCCAGCTCAGGCTGGGAGCAGCGTGGGGCAGGGGTGGGGCAGGGCACCCACCTTTGCTGGCCTCCTGGAACTTGCGCTTGGCCTGGGCACTGTCCCGGGCCAGGCTCCGGTACTGCGACTTCAGCTTCTCCAGCTCCTGCTGGTTTGTCTGTGAATGACACAGAAACGCTTGGTGTGAGGAGCGTAACCCCTGTGCCCCACAGCAGGGGCTGGGCAGAGCCCCAAGGGAGGTGACTGGGGGACAGGACAGAGACCGGAGAGGTGATTGGGGGGTTGGGCAGAGGCCAGGGCAATGAGGGGGATGGGCAGAGCCGGGGGAGGCTGTGAGGGGTGGGCAGAGCCTGATGAAGATCATGGGGGGCGGGCAGAGCCAGAAGGCTGAGGGGGCAGAACCGGGGGAGATTGTGGGGGGGTCCGGCAGAGCTTGTGGGAGATAATGGGGGGTGAGCAGAGCCATGGGGGCGGGCAAAGCCAGGCGGATGCCGGGGGGCGGGCAGAGTCGGGGGAGGCCGGGGGGCGGGCAGAGCCAGGCGGAGGCTGGGGGGGCGGGCAGAGGCGGGGGGAGGCGGGGGGGCGGGCAGAGTCGGGGGGTGGCAGGGGGGGCAGAACCGGGGGAGATTGTGGGGGGGTCCGGCAGAGCCTGTGGGAGATAATGGGGGGTGAGCAGAGCCATGGGGGGCGGGCAGAGCCAGGCGGATGCCGGGGGGGGCGGGCAGAGTCGGGGGGAGGCCGGGGGGGCGGGCAGAGCCAGGCGGAGGCCGGGGGGAGGCCGGGGGGGCGGGCAGAGTCAGGGGGTGGCGGGGGGGGCAGAACCGGGGGAGATTGTGGGGGGGTCCGGCAGAGCCTGTGGGAGATAATGGGGGGTGAGCAGAGCCATGGGGGGCGGGCAGAGTCGGGGGGAGGCCGGGGTGGGCGGGCAGAGTCGGGGGGAGGCCGGGGTGGGCGGGCAGACCCGGCAGAGTGGTGGCCGGAGCCAGAGGCAGCGCTTGGCCCCGGCAGAGTATCCCAGGCCTGGTTCAGCAGGCAGCCCGGGAATGAGGGCGCCAGGCCGCAGTTGCCCCAGGGAAGAAGGGCCTCTCCCGGGCGAGGAAACACCCGGCCCCATGGCAGAGAGGGCCTCACGCCTGCCGCTCCACGCTGCCCACAGCTCCCGTGAGGCTGGCCGGGCAGGGGCCCCGCTGGGTACGGCGCCCTGGAGCAGCCCCAGGGGTTGGGGGTCGCTGGGGGCCCTGCTGGTGGGGGCACGGGGCCCTTCCTACCCTGACATAGTCCTGGCTCAGCTGCTGCCACTGCTCGCTGTAGGCCTTGCGGAGCCGCTGCTTGTCGCGGATAAGCAGGCTCAGCTTGCTCAGGGGCCCGGCGGCCAGGTCCTCTGCATGGCGCCGCAGGATCTGGCTCAGCACCTCCGTCTGGTTCGCCAGCACCCACCAGGACTGCCAGGAGAGGGGAGAGCTCAGCGGGGCCGGGAGCACGGCGGGAGCTTGCGGGGGCTGAGAGTGTGTGGGGGAGGCAGTAGCATGGAGGCAGAGGAGCTCGTGTGGCTGAGTGTGGGGGAGCCTAGGGGAGGGCAATGGGGAAGCCGAGGGGTATTTTCTGGGGGGCCTGAGCAGACTCCAGGGGCCCAGCTGGGCTCTGGGGGTGACTGAGATCTCTGACCCAGGCCCTCTTGGTGCCAGCTGGCAGAGGGCCCAGAGCTGCCATGGGGTTACAGTGAGCCCCTGGGGCAGAGGTACATACTGGGCACCCCAGAGTGTCCCATGAGGTCTCTACTGAACGCCTGGCTCATGCTGGCCGCCCTCCGTGCAAAATTGCAGTGCATCCACCACACAGGAGCTCCCGAGCTCCCCAGATAGCGATGTGCTCTGGGCCTGGGGCCGAGCTGTCGGTCCATCTGTGTCTGTCTGTCAGTCTGTGTACATGTGTCCTGAGCCCTTCAGGGGCCCCGGGGATGCCCACTGAGTCTGAGCACAGGGCTAATCCAGTGAGGGTAAAGTCTCCGGGGGAGACCTAAGGTCCATCCAGCCCAGTGTCCTGTCTGCCGACGGTGGCCAGGGCCAGGTGCCCCAGAGGCAGTGAACCAAACAGGTAATGATCAAGTGATCTCTCTCCTGCCATCCATCTCCACCCTCTGACAGACAGAGGCTAGGGACACCATTCCTCACCCATCCTGGCTAATAGCCATTAGTGGACTTAACCTCCATGAATTTATCCAGTTCTCTTTTAAACCCTGTTATAGACAATGGCTGGAGTGTGGGCTTTGAAACGGCGGGGCTCCAACCCTGCTCTCCGACCCAAGCCCAAACCCGACACTGCCAGTCGTAGCCCACAGCCCAAGCCCCACGAGCCTGTCAGCTGGCCTGGCTCTGAGACTTGTCCCCCGGGGGTGGGCCCTGCATGGAGATGCTTGTAGGGCTGGGGGCTGGTGCTAGCCTGGAAAGCGAGAATGGGGCCCACGGCAACTTGTGTTGTTGGGCTGGAGCTAGAGCAGGGGGTCGGGAGCTGAAGGCAGGTGGGAATGAGGTGCCCACAGCCCTGGGTACCGGCGGGAAGAGTCCCAGCCGTGCTACAGGTACCCGCTGTGCTGCCCTCCCTCGCTGCGCCCAAGGGCACTTTAAGGGATGGCTCCGGGGCTCCTCGCACTCAGCAGCACCTCTGCGGGGCCCAGCCTGGTCTGGCCCAGAGAAGTAAAGCCCGGGGGGCTTTCACCTGCCTTTGCACCTCCTGCGTCTGCCCCACAGCATCAGCTAGAGCAGCCTCAGAGCTGCAGCCAGCACCTTCCCCACCGGGGCAAGGGGCAGCCCGAACTGAGCACGGGGTGGGGCCCAGGGTCCTGCGATGGCCCCACAGTGCTCAGGGCCCTGGGTGTGCTGTCTGATGGGAATGGGCTGCCTTCTGGCCCCTTACGCAGCAGGGGCCCCTCTCTGCTGACACCCGTCCCAGGAACAGGGAACGCAAAGGGGTTTGGACTTTGTCCTCACCCATAACTATGTCACATTTGGGGACAATGTATACCTTCAAGTCAGCAGCACTGCTATGGGTACCCGCATGGCCCCACAGTATGCCAACATATTTATGGCTGACTTAGAACAACGCTTCCTCAGCTCTCGTCCCCTAATGCCCCTACTCTACTTGCGCTATATTGATGACATCTTCATCATCTGGACCCATGGAAAAGAAGCCCTTGAGGAATTCCACCATGATTTCAACAATTTCCATCCCACCATCAACCTCAGCCTGGACCAGTCCACACAAGAGATCCACTTCCTGGACACTACGGTGCTAATAAGCGATGGTCACATAAACACCACTGAATACCGGAAACCTACTGACCGCTATTCCTACCTACATGCCTCCAGCTTTCACCCTGACCACACCACACGATCCATCATCTACAGCCAAGCTCTACAATACAAACACATTTGCTCCACCCCTCAGACAGAGACAAACAGCTACAAGATCTCTATCAAGCATTCTTACAACTACAATACCCACCTGCTGAAGTGAAGAAACAGATTGACAGAGCCAGAAGAGTACTCAGAAGTCACCTACTACAGGACAGGCCCAACAAAGAAAGTAACAGAACGCCACTAGCCATCACCTTCAGCCTCCAACTAAAACCTCTCCAGTGCATCATCAAGGATCTACAACCTATCCTGAAGGACCTGACCCATCACTTTCACAGATCATGGGAGACAGGCCAGTCCTTGCCTACAGACAGCCCCCCAGCCTGAAGCAAATACTCACCAGCAACCACACACCACACACCAGAACCACTAACCCAGGAACCTATCCTCGCAACAAAGCCTGTTGCCAACTGTGCCCACATGTCTATTCAGGGGACACCATCACAGGGCTTAATCACATCAACCACACTATCAGAGGCTCGTTCACCTGCACATCCACCAATGTGATATATGCCATCGTGTGCCAGCAATGCCCCTCTGCCATTTACATTGGCCAAACTGGACAGTCTCTACGTAAAAGAATAAATGGACACAAATCAGACGTCAAGAATTATAACATTCAAAAACCAGTCGGAGAACACTTCAATCTCTCTGGTCACTCGATTACAGACCTAAAACTCACAAAATTACAACAAAAAACTACAAAAACAGACTCCAAGGAGAAACTGATTAATTGGAATTAATTTGCAAACTGGACACCATTAACTTAGGCTTGAATAAAGACTGGGAGTGGAAGGGTCATTATACAAAGTAAAACTATTTCCCCATGTTTATTTCCCCGCCCTACTGTTCCTCACACATTCTTGTCAACTGCTGGAAATGGCCCACCTTGATTAGCACTACAAAAGGTTTTTTTTCTCTCCTACTGGTAATAGCTCACCTTACCTGATCACTCTCCTTACAATCTGTATGGTAACACCCATTGTTTTATGTTCTCTGTGTATATAAATCTCCCCACTGTATTTTCCACTGCATGCATCCGATGAAGTGAGCTGTAGCTCACGAAAGCTTATGCTCAAATAAATTTGTTAGTCTCTAAGGTGCCAGAAGTCCTCCTTTTCTTTTTGCGGATACAGGCTAACACGGCTGCTCCTCTGAAAGGGGTTTCTGTTGCATCCCCACATGCCCTCTTCTCGGAGTCTTTGGAGCCAGCATGAGCCACAGCCTGCAGTATGCCCGCTCCGCCAGCCCCTCCTTTGCCTCCCCCAGCTTGGCTCTCCAGGCCGTGCCCAGGGGTCGGGGCCGGATGGCTGCAGGGTCTCTGCCTACAGAGCTGACCCAGCCTGGGGCAGGCATCCTACCTCACTGATCTGGCTTCTGTAGTCTCCTGGCAGGGGCTGCCCGAAGCCCTCCTGCTTCTCCAGCTGGCAGAATGTGTTGTGCAGCAGGGCCGCGTACTCCCTGTCGCTCTTGGCTCGCTGCACCATCCACTTCTTCATCAGCTCCAGGAGCCGCAGCTCAGAGTCCTGCAGCCGCAGCAGGGCGCTGTGTGCCTGGGGGCTGCACAGCTCCATCCCCAAGCCCATGGCACGAGCTGCAGAGAGCCGGCTCCTCTCCCCCCCACAGCAGGCAGGGGCGGTGCTGTTGGAGGCCATGAGTAGAACAGTCACCCGAGAATGCCCCTTCCCCTGGCGCCGGGTGTGAACCGTATACCAGCCCCCAAGCCACCACCCTGTGCCCCATCCCCAAGCCTGCTGCAGCTTCCCCAGCTCATTTGCCTGTGGTCAGGTCCCCTTTGCATTTTCCAGGCTCGCCTCTCCCGCATTGTTTTTTGGGAGGGTCTGAATAGTTCCACAAATTCCCCAGTGGACTGTTGCCCCGACACCTAGCCGTGCAGCCCTGGGGGCAGGGGTTTTGGGGCACTGCCCCCATCGGGAGGATCTGGCCATGGGGTTTGTGGCTCAGTGACCACCCTGGGCCATGGGTTCTGGGGGGACTTGACTGGCTGGACAATAGTGACACATTGACACAGCCCCACAAAATCTGATTTGCAAAATGGATTCAAATCATGGGGGAAGGTGTTAGTCTCATGCGTGAGCGGCCTGGGCTGGGAGCCGCTCTCAGGCAGGGCTGCTCCGAGGTCACAGAGGGAGGAAGTGGTGGGTCAGAAATAGACTCTGGTTTTGCTGCTACTTGATGAGCCCCAGAGTGAGCGAGCAAGGGAGCCCCACACAGTGCGTGGGGGGATGCTCCCTTCCCCCAAGCCACTAGAGTCTGGGGCGAGGGGGGCTCCAGCCCGAGCATATGGACTCACTGGAGTGGGAGGCACCCAGCCTGGCCTCAGAGGGGGGCAAATGGCGGCAGTCCTTGGCTCTCCAGGGAATACTGCAGGGCCGGGCTGAGCCCCACAGCCCCGGGGCAGGATGAGCTGGGCAAAGCAGAGGGGCAGGGTGTGCTGTGCCCCAGCAAGTTTGCAGATGACACTAAGCTTGGGGGAGAGGTGGAGGGTAGGGATAGGGTCCAGAGTGACCTAGACAAATTGGAGGATTGGGCCAAAAGAAATCTGATGAGGTTCAACAAGGACAAGTGCAGAGTCCTGCACTTAGGACGGAAGAATCCCATGCACCGCTACAGACTAGGAACCGAATGGCTCAGCAGCACTTCTGCAGAAAAGGACCTGGGGGTTACAGTAAATGAGAAGCTGGATATGAGTCAGCAGCTTGCCCTTGTTGCCAAGAAGGCCAATGGCATATTAGGCTGTATTAGTAGGAGCATTGCCAGCAGATCGAGGGAAGTGATCATTCCCCTCTATTCGACACTGGTGAGGCCACACCTGGAGTATTGCGTCCAGTTTTGGGCCCCCACTACAGAAAGGATGTGGACAAATTGGAGAGAGTCCAGCGGAGGGCAACGGAAATGATCAGGGGGCTGGGGCACATGACTTATGAGGAGAGGCTGAGGGAACTGGGCTTGTTTAGTCTGCAGAAGAGAAGAGTGCGGGGGGGATTTGATAACAGCCTTCAGCTACCTGAAGGGGGGCTCCAGAGAGGATGGAGCTGGGCTGTTCTCAGTGGTAGCAGATGACAGAACAAGGAGCAATGGTCTCAAGTTGCAGTGGGGGAGGTCTAGGTTGGATATTAGGAAACACTATTTCAGGAGGAGGGTGGTGAAACACTAGAATGGGTTCCCTAGCGAGGTGGTGGAATCTCCATCCTTTGACATTTTTAAGGTCAGACTTGACAAAGCCCTGGCTGGGATGATTTAGTTGGGATTGGTCCTGCTCTGGGCAGGGGGTTGGATTAGATGGCCTCCAGAGGTCCCTTCCAACCCTGATCTTCTATGATTCTTGACGGCTGTAGTAAGGGCTGGGAGCCAAGGGGCCCAAGCTGGCTGAAGTTCCGGGGGGCAAGACCTGGCACCAGGGGGCTGAGAGGGGAGAGCAGCTCACCAGCGAGTAACAGGCGAGCAGAGACGCAGCCTAAGGGATGAGGATGTGGGCGGGCAGCACCTGCCAGGGGAGTACCACTGGTATCCCAGCCCCCCGGGGACAGCCTGATGCCCAGCCCAGCCCAGTCAGATGGTGCTGCATGGACATTAGCCATTGGGTCAGGGGACAGCCCCTCTGAATGGCTCTGAGGGGCCCTGTCTATAGGGCACTGGGGGTGGTGGGAAGTCGCTCTGAATGGCTCTGAGGGGCCCTGTCTATATGGCACTGGGGGTGGTGGGAAGTCGCTCTGAATGGCTCTGAGGGGCCCTGTCTATAGGGCACTGGGGGTGGTGGGAAGTCGCTCTGAATGGCTCTGAGGGGCCCTGTCTATAGGGCGCTGGGGGTGGTGGGAAGTCGCTCTGAATGGCTCTGAGGGGCCCTGTCTATAGGGCGCTGGGGGTGGTGGGAAGTCGCTCTGAATGGCTCTGAGGGGCCCTGTCTATAGGGCACCGTGGGGCAGTGAGCCCCCTGTTCTGCCCTGGCATCACTGCCCCAGGCACCTGCTGGCAAAGGGCCCGGAGGACCTGTTCCCCGAGGAGAGGGGCTGCAGCTGCCGTGGCCATGGGGGAGGGGAGACCAGAGGCTCCTGCAGAGCCGTGGCGGGCAGGACCCGGGCTGGGGTGCAGAACGAGGCAGAAAGGGAGACTCAGTCTGACCCTCTACAACTGGAGTCGGCTGGGAGGGAGTTATGTCCCCAGCACTGACCTCTCTGGACTCAGTGCTCAGGAGGGGCCGGGGGCCAGAGCTCCCAGCATTGAGCCCTTCTCCTAGGAGCAGGCGGTGACAGGAGGGGCTGGGTGCCACGTGCCCTGCGGCTGAGCCCTTAGCCCAGGACAAGGCTGTAAGAAAGGGCACCCCCCACCCCGGCGCTGACTCACGTGTCTGCAGCCCTAGCTCCCGGGAAGCAGGGGAGTCCTGTGAATCCCTCGTGGCACTGGGCTCCCCGGCCCCACGCAGGCAGCTCTGTCACTAGCCTGGATACTGCACAACCCCAGCTGAGAAAGAAGAACAGGAAACGCTACACTGACCAGCAAACCATTGCAAGACTTCCCGCACTTCCTGCTCCCCTCCCACCCCACCAGCGCCAGGCTGTGCGGTCAGCCCCTTGCAGAGAATAACGGGGTCGGGGAGCGGGGTGTGAAGCACCCTGGGACTCACCAAGACCTGCCAATGCCCCACCTGCTCTGGGAGAATGGCACTGACCCACCTGCCCTGTCACTGAGGGGAATCTGGGGGAAGCCACGCTGAGCCGAAGGAAGAGACAGGAGTTCCTTGGTGCTCCAGGAAATACTGCTGGGCCCTGGGGACAGCAGGGGGGCAGGGTGCACTGTGCCCCAATGCCCTGCTTCTTCAGCCCCAAGCCTACATGCCACCCCCAAGCACTGCTCCAGCCCCCATCCCAACCCCCAGACAACGGGACAGCTGCACTCCCTGCTGAGAGCTGGACAAGCCCCATGGGCCAGGGCAGTGCAGGTCCCTGCAGGCTAGTCCCTGGGCTGGGCCAGTCCAGGGTTACATAGCACAGCCCTCCTGGGACCCTCCCAGCCCATGCCTGGCCAACCTCATCCCTTTTCTGTTACCCCTCGCCCCACTGGCCCCTCTTCAGTCAGCTGGCCTCACACCAGCTCCAATGCGTCCATCTCTGTGACCGCGGAGCCTGCAGCTGGGGGCAGGATCCTGGGGGCAGGATGCCGAGGGCCCGGAGTCCAGGGTGGGATCCTGGGGGCGGGACGTCGAGGGCTCGGAGCCCAGGATGGGATCCTGGGGGTGGGACGCCGATGGTCCGGAGCCCAGGGTGGGATCCTGGGGGCGGGACGCCGAGGGCTCGGAGCCCAGGGTGGGAAAAAGCTCGCTGGGCTCAGCTCAGTTCAGTGTGCGAGCACAGAAGGGCCGGGGGCTGGACTGAAAGGAGGGTTTCCTGTGGCCAGGCTCTGGGGCTGCTGCAGAACTTACCCCACGCAGGAATTAACCATCTCTGGCTCAAGGCCCAGACACGCCGTTTGGAGCCAGCCATCAGTCTGAGCTGTCAGGGCCTGGCTACGGGCTGGAAAGCAAGGGGTAGAAGCCCCACCTGACCTGGCAGAGACCCTGCATAGACATGAGCTCCTGGCGCATTCGGCTTCCCCGCTACCCTCCAAGACAGGCTGTCAGCGGGCCAGGTTGGAGCTGCTCAGCTGGCCGCAGCCCTGCAGAGCCAGATGGGGGAAGGAGGCCAAAGACTGTGTGCGAGGCTCTGGAACTTCTTGCTGCTGCACTGAATCTCTCTCTGCGCAGGGCACCTGGAGAGGAAGCAGCTGCTAGCGAGGAGGATGGAAGCTGAATAATGCTAGGGAACACGGGAGCCAGCACTGAACCACCTCAGTGGAGACTGGGCCCTCTGGAAGCCGAGCCTGGCTCACCGAGAGAGCGGATGAGCTACTAATGGCGTTAGATTTCACTATGGCTACTAACCAGAACCAGTGCCAGCAAAAGCGTCTGACCAGTTCAGTCTGTGGAGTTTCCGTGTCAGGATGTGGCCCAGAGGAGACAAACAGTTGTAGGCAATTGATTGACAGCAACTGAGCTGCCCTGTGTTGAGACCAAGGTCTCAGAGGAATCTGAAGTAGAAACAACCAAGAGACGACCGAGGAGGATGGCGGGGTATGACAGAGGTCTATGAAATCAGGACTGGTGTGGAGAAAGTGAATAAGGAAGACACATAACACAAGAACTAGGGGTCACCAATGAAATTAACAGGCAGCAGGTTTAAAACAAACAAAAGGCAGTATTTCTTCACACAACGCACAGTCAACCTGTGGAACTCCTTGCCAGAGGATGCTGTGAAGGCCACGAGTATAACAACATTCAACAAAGAATTTGATACGTTCCTGGAGGATAGGTCTATCAATGGCTATTAGCCAAGATGGTCACGGCTGCAACCCCTTGCTCTGGATAGGGATGGATCACTTGAAATTGTTCTGTTCTGTTCATTCCCTCTGAGGCATCTGGTACCAGCCACCGCCAGCAGACAGGGTACTGGCTACATGGCCTATTGCTCTGACCCAGGCTGGCTGTTCTTAGCTCTGGCTCCCTGTTCATTTCCTGAATGTTTCTGACAAGTGGCAAATAGTAAGAAGGGGCCCCCAGGCTTGTACAGTGTGGAGGAGAGGTTACTGGCCTTACGGGAACTCGAGTTCCTCAAGCCAGTTTGTCCGGGGGAGCTCCAGCGTAGGAAGTGTGCACAGCGGGGCACTCTCATTCAGAGACGGCAGTGTTGGGCCTGCGCAGAGCCGCGACCCGCACTTTGAACAAGGGCAGAGCAAGAGACACCAGCCTGCCACCACCCAGCTCCTTTTCACCCTTAAAGCCAGAATCTCTGCAGTGGAGGAGAAAGTGGGTGGGAGGTGGGGCAACCCGAGGGACAACTCATCTCGAAGAACTCCGGTTAGCGTCAGGGAAGTAACCTCTCTTCTTCGAGCATCTGTCCCTTGGGTGTGTCATGGATGCCCAGCTCTGGGGCGCTAGAGTAGCCCCTGGGGGACCCCTTCAGTATGTCAGCTCCCTTAGGGTCACGCTCTCACTGGGGTCAGCCCCTTGGTTTCACCACCTCCTGGGACCAACTCTTGGAGCCTTCAGCCCCCCCGCTTCATGCTTTGAGCTCCCCTCAGTGAATCCACCTGAGAGAGAGAGACTTGCACACCTGAAAGGAGCATGTTCCCCAACTTCCTTCAACTGGAGTGACTCAGCAGCGGTGTAAAAGCAGAAGGGTTTATTAGAAGGCTGGAACCCAGCGTAGAACGTCCTTAGTTAACACACACAACAGAAAGTTACAGTCTGGTCCAGGGCCGAGAGCCCTCTGACCCTTCTTTAGTCCCAGTCCCGCCCCACTTAACGCCACCTGGCCCCTCCTCAGTCCTTTCTCCTTGTTCCAGACAAACATTGTCAGCTGGCCTCCTCCTTAGCCCTTTCTTCTCCAGCTGGTCACACCCAACTGGCGGGTCATCCCTGACCCTTAGTTGCTAGGTGCCAAATATCTGGGCAATTGGAGTGGCTATTGTCTTCTCAGAGTCTCCATGGGCTTGGGGCACAGGCCCTAGACAGCCACATGTCCGTCATGGGTCTCTGAGAAGCGACCGTCCACACATGAGACCACACACATGCCCCACTGGGGGAGGTGAACCGCTACCACTGAGAGACTCTGTGAACACCCTGAGGCCGTGGGGAGTCCAAAGGGGAGAACTTGGCATTGAGAGTGATCCGCCCCAGTACAAGGTGTAGGAAGCATTTGTGGGAGGGGTGGATGGTCCTGTTGGCTGAGGGCAACAACCCATCTCCTCCGTCTCAGCTGGGATTAGGGAAGCTGGTGTCACCATTCTGAAGTGTTTGCTAGGATGGAGTTGCTCAGGTTCCTGAGCGTGAGGCTTGGTCTCCACCCTCCGTCCTTCTTGGGAACAAGGAAGTAACTGGAGTAAAACCCTTTTCTGAGGAATTCTGCTGGGACCTGCTCTCTTGCTTCCAGGAGGAGGAGGAGATGAGACTCTTGCCTTAGGAGTGCCTGGCCAGGGGCGGGGTGGGGGGAAGGGATGGAATGGATGTGCCTGGAGTAGCCCACTTCAGTGCCCTGCAGGTAAGGAACCTCCAGGCGGCAGTGTGACCTTAGGTGTGTAATATAATATCTCATTGACAGGTGACACCGGGCCAGAAAAAGTTAATTAACTCCCAGACTGACCTGACCCATGGCCGAACTTTAGAGACTGGTTAGGAAGAGATGGAAATGAAGAGAGCTTTGAAATGCAGCCTGCATTGTTAGAGATAGAAGGGGAGATGTTTGCTCAGGGCTTGTGATGTCAGCAAACAAGTCTTGTCTATGGCTGTAGCTTTGATTCAAAGATCAGAAAAGGAATATTAACATTTAGGAAGACACTTGAGTGACATAGTATTATTGTCTGTATGTCTCTTTGAAGGTTGTGGTAACCTGTGTCTGAACTAAAGGAGGACATGTGGCACCTTAGAGACTAACAAATTTATTTGAGCATAAGTTAAATAAATGTGTTAGTCTCTAAGGTGCCACAAGTCCTCCTTTTCTTTTTGCAGATACAGACTAACATGGCTGCTACTCTGAACCCTGTATCTGAACTGTTCAATGGATAAATGACACTATACTAATTGCCAGGATGGTTGAGAGACAGAAGATTTAAGAAAAGGAGTACTTGTTCCTCTGAAACCTGTCAGAAGATTTAAGTTTATTCTCTCAGGCCAAGAGGCTGCTGGAAAATGTATAAAACCCCTGGGACACCATCCTGTTTTATCTCAGATCTGCTTTGGGTTTCAAGAAGGGGAAACCCTAAGCCATAAAAATTGAGATCCCCAGTCACGGACTGGACATTGGACTATAACCTGTGGACTATTTCTAAAAGGACTTTTGGCAACTACAAACTCATCTCTGCTATGTAACTGGACCTCAAGAAATTGAACTCAAGTCTGTATGTATATTGATCTTTCAACCAACTCTCTTTTCTTTTTTAATAAATTTTAGCTTAGTTAATAAGAATTGGCTGTAAGTGTGTATTTTGGGTAAGATCTAAGTTATAATTGGACCTGGGTGTGTGGCTGATCCTTTGGGATTGGAAGAACCTTTTGTTTTATATGATGAGATATGATGGTGATTACTGAAAATCTTATCTGACATGTGTGTCTGGCTGGAGGCCTGCGGCTGGGCACTTTAAGGGAACTGCATTATTTGGACCTCTGAGTAACCAGGGAGGTGCTATAGAAGCTGGTTTGGGCTGGCTGGGTAAATCTAAGTACTGGAATATCCACCAGCCTTTGGGGTATGTCTGCCCAGTTCTGTTTGCAGTTCACCCTGATTGAGTGACCTCAGCGGGCTCCCACGGGCAGCACTGTTACAGGCAGGCAGTGCAGAGTCAGACTCCGAAGCGGGGAGTTGCACAACCGCTGATCCGTGGAGTGAGTTGCTTGATGGCCCCAACTGAGGTATCAAAAGTACCTCT